TCAACCCCTGGCCAGACCTTCTTGTACCTCAATAATCCCAGCTGGAAAATTAGGTAAAATATAAACATGACCTCATTAAGAAACATGCTTCATCTGAGCTGTGCTTCTTGAATAAACACATTACAAAGCTTCTGGTGACATTTTTTTAGAATGTAGTCTGTGTCCCCTTCTACAGTGGTCAGTTTGGAGTCGGGAGACAGGAGCTTGAAAATTTTGCCGACCTAAGTTTAGAAAAACAGACACTTCCCTTCCTGAGGTTAATATTATAACTCAATCCTAGTTGTACAGTAATACCTGAGTTGAAAGAGAAGCTCAATCAACATTTTCCTTTAAACCAACATATCTTCCCCAAAGTTCCCTTGTGAATTTAAAGAGATAAGATGCTTTTTAAACTATATTATGAATGTCAGAAATTTATTTCATGAAATATCATCCATTTGTCATTTTAAAAGATTATAATACTAGAAAAATTATCAGATGATTGCTATTTCTGCAATAACATTTGGCCTAAAATATAGTTAAGACTCCAAGTCAATGGGTTTTACTTGGACATAATTTGATCAAGAAACTCTTTCCTTAGCATCATTCACATCAACTTCTTCCTGATGTTACATTAGCAGGACAATTATATTTACAACAGGATTTAATATCTATTAAGAACAGATCAGTATTTTATACAAAAAATACAGTTTTTGAACCTTGATTTTTATGATTTCAAACATCAAAATGCAGCTCTGTAATCTGCATGGTTTGGGAAAATAATAGACAGTTGGGTTATCCTCAAAATTTCACTCTGACTTATGTGTTTTCCCTTTTCTGTTTATTGAGTTTATAAATACAAAATCTATTAACAAGTGCACCCACAACACAGGTGTGTTTTGTTCCTTAATTGCCTCTGGATTTTAGGTGAGAAGTTTCCACTGACAACAATCATTTAAGATTCACTAACAATTCTAGTATTATAAACAAGATATTTTAACTAAATTAAAGCAAACAAACTGCACTCCATTCTTTTGCATGTTTACTGATTGCAAATGGTTCAAAATACAAGCATTAATTCTTCTTTTACTTGATACTCCAGGGCTTCTTACTTAAACCCTGACAGTAAATGGTTACCCCAAATCCTCACTGTAAGTTTTCAGGTTGTTTCACAAAAGGAATTGGTTGAGCTTCTTCAGATCTCTTCAGTTACTTTCCAAATTCCTTTGACTCCTCTGCATCCTTCTTTTCTTATACTTTGACTTGATATAGAAATGGGCTTTCTGTCCTTCCAAGGGTAAGAATTACCTTTCTCTGTGGGTTTCTTGATTCCATCCCTTGCCTCCTCCAAAATTTCACTCCTTAACAAACTCTGCTTTGGTCTAAAAACTCATCTAAAAACACCTTTTGATGAAAACAGAAAGAGATCACCAAGTCTAGGACTCGGTAAACATAGTCTACATTTTTTTTTTAATATTTTTTGTTACCTTACTCTCTGAAGCACATATTTGTAAATCCAAGCTGTGCTAATCCTGCAAAAGGCTGCATTTTAGAGAAAAGCTTAACCCCCAAGCCACATCTATAAACTTAACTATCTCTGTGGGTGATTTATGAACAAACTTTCACTGGAAAAGGTGACTGATGGAAAAGCATAGGCTTGTAGTAGGTAATCAATGATGAGATGATAAATTCTGATTCCCCTTCACAGCATCTACTTGAAATACATTGCTGTCAGCTGTGAAATTCTATTTTAATTTCCTGGAGTCTGAATTTTTCTCTATTAGTTAACTTTTAGTATCATAGTATCATCTGCTATGAGTGCCCCTTTAAAATGCCTTATGCTGTGATCATATCTTGCCATTAGGGACCCAACAATATGGGCATGGGGGGGTTGCGGGGAGAGGAGGGACTAGGGTCAAAATAAGGGGGGGTGCAATTGTATGGCGAATATAACCAAAATGAAAATGCATACATTGTGCAAAAATGAAAAATGATGTAAGAATTATATAAAATAAAATGTTAAAACAAACAAATAAAAAAAGAAGTGGAAAGAAGCAAATTAAAAAAAAAAAACAATATGGGTAAATTTGAGACTGACCGGGGATGTCTTTACAAGAATGATTAGGCACCCACATTTGAAAATACCATTCCTTGTGCTGGTCACAGTCTTTAGTATGTCTGTCACATCTTTCTTGAAGAGCATCCAGCACTCCTCACATCGCTCTTCCATTTCAATTCCTGTCCAACTCCTGAAGAGAAGTCACATGGGTCTGTCACTGCAACCTGCTGCTGTGGAGCTGGCTGTCTGGTCTGTGGGCGCCTTAGTGCCCTTCACATTGCTCACAATCTCATCGCTCTTGAGAGCGCCTGCTTCTACAGCCAGGAATTCCTTCCAGGACAGAATACTCCACTCTCCTCTTAAAAGCCCGTCTCTTTCGGTGACTCTCAGGCCATCCATTTCTGACTGACTCATGGAAATCTTACAGAATTCACATCACTTTTTAGCTCTTGCTGAAGTGCAACTATAATTCGCTCATGCTTAGAATGGCAATCATTTTTTATTACCATGTAAGAATGTTTCGTATGTCTTCAGCCATAATTAAGTTACACTAATAAATTAGTAAATTTGGGGAGCATAAAATTCAGTGCTATGCCAACTAACATGCTGAGAGTCTTAAAAGCATACCAACATGTTTTAAAGTAAACTGCTTGGTTGACATATTTGAAATCTTTTAAAATTACATGCCTTGCCACTCTGAAGTTACGAAAAAATGGAGGCACCGTTCCAGGTCCCTCAGAAAATTTGGTGTTTGCCACTTAGCTTGTTTTTTGTTTTGTTTTGTTTTGAATATTTATTTATTTATTTATTCATTTATACAAGCACTGGGTACAGTCAGAAGCGCAGGAGGGTGAGAGAATTCACCAGAGCCAGCGCGGGGAACAGAACAGACAGACTGACGAAGTACACTGCTGAGGGGAGCAGTGGGCGCTGCAGGAGAGGTCTGTGCACCATGTGGGACCCTCGCTGGTGGCCGGGGATCGAACTGGCACTGCAGAGGCTGCGGGCAGCTTCTCAGCCCAGCACTCAACCGCTGCGCCACCACGGGCGGCCCACTTAGCTTGTATTTTAAATCAAGAATCTAAGTGCACTCCTGCAAATGCAGTGAAAATCTCTTGACGCAATCACACATTGGCACATGGATAGTGATATTTCTTTATATCAATGTGGAAGGAAAGACTGTTACTCTGTTAAATGGATGGATATCTTATGGACTAGAATGTAAAAATCCAGTTTTTAAAAACATAGGACCTGGATTCCAATGACTAGCACGTTACTGAAGTAGCACAAGTCACAAATCCCATGGTGTTAGCTGATAAAGAGTCTGCCTTAGGAAAATTCACAAAGCACAGAGTGCATTCTCAACAAGCATTTGCACAAAATGAATTTAGGTATTTTCAAATCAGACTTCAAAAGAGGGTCTGCTTTTCTGTGAGCTGTGGGTTCTGCAAAAGGATCAAAACATACCACCCCAAAATGGACAGGCTTCTGCCCACTTTCTTTTGCATGTCATTTGGGACATACTTTGTGTATGTTCTAGCTACTGACCAAATGGAGCGTGCGAGGGTGTCCCATAGACGACCTGTTAGCCTAGTAAAGACTATTGGAATAAATATCTGCAAAACTAGGCTAAAAGTGTGGAACATTGGAAGGCCCCTGAGTCCTAGCCACTTAATTTCAGCCACAACAGCAAACAACAGCTCAGTGGACAATTTTGTTATGAGGTGTCAGTGATTTAATAAGTTGACCAAAAGTAGTTGGAATGCATCGTGAAAAAGATTGCTCGTGCACACAGAGCCTGGGCAATGTGGCCAGCATTCCTGCCTCTGGTTCTCAACCCTCCAGAGACTATAGCTACCACTTTTCTATTGAATTTGCTACATTCCTTTTTGGTGGTTTGTATTCTATTCTATAAAGTTTTACAGAGCACACTACTAGGATGACTTGCCGACTCTTTAGTATTTTTACACTACTAGATTTTTTAAAGCAGCATTTTAGATTTACTGGGGAATATCATTTGAACCTTAGACTACAGGAAAATGAATCTTATATAGTAAAAACAATTTAGTCCGATGATAAGAATGTGGTTATGCACTCTGTGAAATAATTCCTAGCTTGCAGAATGGGTGTGTAAGTTACGAGGAACATGGTTGATGACTTAAGCACAAGCCCCACCCACCGAGCTGAGTGGTTTTGTACAATTATTTACCTTCTCAGTATTTGTTTGGTCTTCAAGCTCTAATATTCCATGAAAGTATCTTGCTTTTTGAGACATTTCTTACATGAAAATGATACCCATTGTGAGTCTAGGGAAGGTCCTAAGTCACTAAATAAAAGACATGTAGGGGTGAAGCAAGTTTACATTGCATAGCTTCACTTATTGTTTTTCTCCCCTAGTCATCTCTTGGATAGCTACCTACTTGCTTGTCCAAGAAATTAGAAACAACTGACATTCAAAAACCATGTATTAAGTGTTTGCAACTTGCAGAACATTGATTATAATACAGAGTTTTCAACAGTGGAAGGGGGTGAGGAGAGAGGATCTATGATTTGTTGGGACTCATGGCTGATCAGAGAAATGAAAATTAGACAAGTTATCAAAATAATATGGAGGGAGGGCTGTGACATAATCCCACAATTGCCCTGCACATTCTAGATTCTAAAAAAAGGCTTTTTTTCTACGTATCAGTGAGCATGTGTGATCCAGATGGATTAGGGGAGCATCCATTGCCTTGGGTAATTTTCAGTTTTTTTCTATTGACCAGGAGTGACTGCTCTAACCACATGCAGCTTTAATTTCTCTAGAGGCCAGTCACTGCATGAGAAGGCAGTGAAAATAATCTTGAGTCCGGGGCGGTGGGGTGGGGTGGTGGGTTGGAAATCAAGAGCTAGCGTAATTGTCATGGAAGAGTAGAAATACCAAATCACTCATTATATGCATTTCCTATATTCTCTCTCTTAGGACATCTACTTGGTCTCTCCCATGATGACTCCAAATTCTGTGAAGAGAACTTTGGTTCCACTGAAGATAAACGTTTAATGTCTTCCATCCTAACCAGCATCGATGCATCTAAGCCCTGGTCTAAATGCACCTCAGCCACCATCACAGAATTCCTGGATGATGGCCATGGTAGGTATCAGCGAGGACATTAGTCAGAAACACAACTTGGGTTTATTGTTTTTCTGCTTTATTATATCCTCATGGTGTGCCCCTTGCCCTGCATGACAATGGTTGTTTAGCCCGGCAGTGGGTGTGTATTGCCAGCGTCCTTGGTGGCATTATAGCCATGGTATTTTTGCTTTTGAATTGAAAAGTTCAAAAGAGAAGCAGTGTGGGAGACCACACAGAATGTGTAGTCAGTGCCCTGGAAGTCTGGCTCTTACTCCCTTTTTCACCACTAGCTTCCTGTGAGAAACTGGCAGACATTTTGTTTCCCTGCTATTAATATGACTCTCAGAATTATTTGTTTCATGCTTATTATAGGGGTGTGGTTAGCACAGAGGTGACAGTTCTGTCAGATTCCCTTTATGGCAACATAAAGGCAGGAAAGGGTGTGCATTCCCTGGATGAATTTGGTTTCATCCAGACAGCAGGTTCTCCTGCTGAAAGTGGAGTCAAAACTGCAGAACAGAAATAGAACAGCATTTGAATGGTGAGAAAACACTGCAAGAACTTCAAAAGAAAATCTTTGGCATATCCTTTAGATACAATTCAGGAGGAGAGTGTATTTAAGTTCTATAAGCCCAGGGTTAGTGCTGTAAATTGTAAAACTACAAAGGAAGTCACAGTTTTTAGAAATAATAAATTCTCACCCTTAAGTAATCTTTGAAACAAGTTATTTCAAAATTACATGCCTTGCCACACTGTGTGAAAAGAAAAATGGAGGCACACTCTTGGGCCTTTCAAGGTGAAGCTGAGGTGCTCCTTAAATTCCTTTTAAATACTAGCATTCCTGATACTCCTGAACTTTAAACACAGGAGAATAGACTCATCAAACTCATTTCAACTGAAAGAGATGATCAGATCAAGTAGTTCAAGTTTTTCGTATTCCAGAAATTCCCTTTTTGCCCTGTGAATATTACCTCTTTCTAAGATTGGTGGTTGAATTGATTGTGACAGAGATTCTTAATTATAATACTTATCCATAAGGTATCTCAAAGTCCAATAAAGAAAATCTGTGATAAATATTTTTTCCTACTTCCATAAAGATCCTGGTGTGATATTTCTGTAATTTCTTAGTGAGTCGGCCATTAAACTGTGGCAAAAGGTTGTCAGAAATAATTGATAAATTCAATTCTTTTCAGATGAAAATAAATTCCATTGCATGGTTCCTTGTATCTTATAACCAGTTCTGTTTCATTAACTCATTTTTGCTAATAATGATGAATCAGTAATATTTTAGCTATTCGTAACTACTTAAAATTCCTATTCATGTAAACAGCCTATACCTAGTAGGTATGGTATGGGGCATACATCTGACAAGGTGTCAATCTAGACCCCAAAATCATACATGTTTTGTAAACCAAAATCATACATGTTTTGTAAACCAACAATAACTCACTAAAAAATATAAGTAAAAAATAAAATTTCCCTCAATACAAAAATGAATGTTTTTTGTTAGTTGAAAGAACATCCCAATTTATTAAGATTTAAAAACCATGCTAAAAGTCAGTGTTTTAGGTTTTTCCTTTATGTTAATAATAAAGTGGCAATTTTCTGGTTAGCTCAGTTTACAATGCTGATTAAATGCCAGTAAAGTTCCTGAAATGAATGTTTACCTAATTATCTGAATTTCTCCATTGATCAAGACAGTGTCTAGAAAGGAGCCCCTCTGGTGGAATCTTAGTTCCCATTATTAATAATATTTTTTTTCAGGTTGTCTGAAAATGAAATAATAGTAATATTTTATTTCAAAATCACATGTTACACATTCCAAAATGTTGATCTAAACTTTGAATCACTAACTGAACAGAGTTAGTTGCTAAGGCAGCAAATACTTAGGGCTAAAATGGGACCAGATTTTTTCCTGTGCAAGTATTAGGTCAGCTAATTACAATGCTGTGCAATTTTTTTTTCCTCATTGCCATAATTTTGGAATGATTCACCGCATGTTTGTGGAATTCATGATCCTACTTTCTGTATAGTAAACAGTCTTTCAGTATTGTCTTCCTTTTTTAAAATATTATTTCTAGATTCAGTAAAGTCCATACTCAGATTTCTAAAAAAACAATATAGCAAACTTAATCAGTAGCCTATGGGTATATAAAGTAAATTCAGGAGAATAAGAATGAAACAATGGTTCTGTGATATAAAGACATAGCTCAGTTACATTCATTGCAAAATAGTGTGCACAGATATGGGGTGGAGACAGATTACTCTCTATTACACTGTCATTTATATATGAGTTCAAATAATTTAATTGCTTTTAAATTGGGGCCAAAAATACTGACTTAAATCAGTTTCAGTGAAAGTGTGTCCATAGGAGCTAGAGATGTTTGAGATACTGACAATTCCGACCAAGAGGAAAGTCCAAATCCAAGATGATGGGAAAATGAGCACATTAACAGAAATAGCTCATCTTTGTTGGAAGACAAAACTGATAGGATGGAACCAAGGTATACCATTTTCACTGCTGCTAGAGAGCTTCTCAGACCTCCATTTACAGACCGCTTAGTCATATTTTAGAATTCTTCTGTTTTTCCATGGTAAATTTCTATTTTTTAAAAGATTTATTTATGCATACAAGAACTGGGGTACAGGCCAGAGGTGTGGGGGGGGGGTGTTAGAGGATTCACCAGAGACAGAGTGGGGAACAGAACAGGCAGACTGACTGAAATGCACTGCTGAGGGGAGCAGAGGGCGAGACGGGAGAGGTCTGCTACATAATGTGGATAGCTCCCTGGTTGGGGATCGAACTCATGCTTCAGTGGCTGTGGATAACTTCATAGGCTGTGTCTTAACCCCTTGTGCCACCAAGGAGGCCCCATGGTAGATTTGTAGATCACCAGTAATAGTAAGCATTAAAGGAGTCATGATTAGGGTGCAGGGGGCCTTCAGATAGGTAAACTGAGATCAAGAAGTGACATCATTAGGCAATGAAGGAGATAGTAAAAATGCTTAAATGTAGCCCTAAAACATTAAAATCACAGTGATTCTCGATGTTTAGTTATTTAGGTGACACATAGTGACACAAATATAAAAGCAGCAAAATAATTGATATTTTTAAATCTAATAATTTTTAGGTGGACCCTAAAATGTGTTATCTGAAAATTCCATTCCTCATTCAGATCTCAAATTGTCTCTCTCTCAGCCCCAGCAATACTGGAGAAATGAGGGTTTAGAAGCACAAGTAAATTCAAATCAGTTGATTTGTTTTTAAAATTAGTAGCCATAAGTAGCTGAACATTTGTAGCACTCAACCACTGCCAAATTTAAATTCATTAGTACTGAGTGTTTCCTGATTTAGTTCCAACAAGAAATATGGAAGAATTAGGTTATGGTTGAAAGGTCAATCTAAAATTACTATGCCTGCAGACTTGTGATTCAGAAAGGGAGAAGCTATGTCTTGTAGGGACCACCCCCACCCACCCCGCCAACTTTCCCTACTGCAGGCCTGGCCAAGATACTTGTAGACATTCTGCAGTGTTTATACAAGTTAGCTCTAGGCAAGCTGGCGAAGAGTGTGATCCTTGAAAATAAAGGTAAGCATTGGCAGAGAAATTGTGCAGTGAAAGCAAGTTATTGAATTACCTCTCTCAAGTGTTTAATAACCTTGAAGTCAAAAGAGATAGCTGTGTCTGCTGTATCCCTAAGTCCACAAAGCCAAGGGGTGAGGAAGGCCACCATCTAACTAGAGACAGCTCAACGCAGCTGCTAAGGAAGATCTATAGACAGCTTTGAAAAACTAACATGTAGCATATTTAAAGGGCAAAGGGTATAACTGCTTCAGAACCTAGAACGTAGCAGATAATAGAAACAGTCTGAATCCTTTGTAAATACAGACTCTATAGCTGACAATGTGATCTTAACATTCTATTTTGAAGGTCATAGTCATAAAATGCAAAGCCCTTTATGGTTGTCATTTTGATTTTTACAATAAATAGATTCTTTAAGAGAGTCTGCATATCAGACATACATTTTAAGACTGTGGCAATGCACATACCTTAAAAAAAAAACAAAAAACTCTTCTTTGGCATAATTTCCTTGGCATTACATTTGCTAAACAATGTCCCTAGTGCCTCTGATGGCTTCACAAAAAGGCCCCTTGATTACTTTAGATCAGCAATAATTTCATGCGCCATTGTTGTGCTCTTGTAACTTCCTCAATCACTGGGCCCATAGTGAGTCATCAAGAGCAGGCAAATGCACTAGTTTCTCTTTGAATTTTAGATATTCAAACAATGACCTAAGAGAAGAGTTGTGGGGCCAGAATGATGATGATGATGGGACATAAAAGGGGAGAGATTGCTGTGTTAGACTTCTCGGGATGAGTTTTACTAGGAGTGTTGATGGATTCTCCTAGGCCATGGATAGTGGGTCTAATGCTTAATTTCATGGCTTTTCAATACTGAAAAGGAAAGAAGATGGAAATAAGAACAGCACTAGAAATGGGAGAAAGACGCAAAGAATAAAGAACAACCAACCTTAATTCATTAATTCCATTAATCATTACCATGGAAGACAGTGTTGTACGTCATATATAAAAAATGGAATATACTTCTGTTCCATCCACCACCCTCACTCCTCCTGTGCTTGTGGACATGGAGAGGGGAGCACATTCTTTTCTTTGTCCATCACAAATCGTTGAGTTTTACTCCGTCAATTTTCACCTGATTCTAAGCATTTAGCTTAACATGGGTGGTAAAAACAAGTATATAATTTGTTCACTTGTCAATTGTCTCTCTTTTGGAAGCTAACCATTTATGTACACAAAATAGTAAAAAGAAGGGAAGGAGAGAGAGAGGAAGAAAGGAAAGCGATTTGGCAATATATGGAACAGAAAAGACAAAATGTCGGCAGCAAAGCCCAGATGGAATTTCACAACAGGGTAAATTAGAAGATAGATGCAGTGGAGGTGAAGAGCAGTTGGTATGACAGTAAAACTGATTAAGAAAAGCAGCCATTGAATGGGTGCTATTAGAGGTCAGGATAAATGATAAGAAAAGATCAATCAGTTTCCTCTTTTACCCCTCATCCAAACTCTACACAGTTCTTAATGTGGGGAAATGTAGAGCCAATCACTACGACTTCAATTTTAAATATTTTATACTGTGAGATTGAGAATCAGGCTATATATTGATTTCTTTATTGTTCCTTGGCTGCAGACTGCTATTTGATAGATATCTATATATGTCTTTTTTTTGGCAAAATGAGATAATTCAACGGATAGATGAAATCAATAGACTGTACCTTTCAGGGTAAACAGAAACTAATGCCACCACAAATCCTAATACTGAGAACACTGGGGTAATAAATTAATGGTGATTCTGAGTTACGTTGTATTAAGCAAGAAAGGGATAACCTAGGATGACCTCCAATGGAAAACCATTGAGCTGAGATATAGTTTTTAATACGGAAGCAAATGTGTTCCTCATTTTTGAAATGCAATATGGCACTGAGCTTTGTAAAGAGATGTCACACCTCCGAGTCTCCGTGTTGGGAGCTGATTTCAAATTGCTTGCATAATACAGTTCTTTTTGCTGATCTGTTACTGAGTGAGGTAGAAAGGATGTCGGTGGCTGAGTGTTCAGAGAGATGTGGCAAGTTATTTGGGCTCAAGGTGAACACAGCAGACACATGATACATGTGTCCCCCACCCCATGTTAAATACTTCTCAGGCACGATTTATTCAGTGACCTCGTCTTATGCTCAGTGCTTTTCAGTAAAATAAATTTTCTTAAAACAGCACTTTTGGAGAATTGGAAAGCATTCTTGCTGTCTCAGAGATTTGTTGACTGTGTTCGAACATCAGCATCTGCTCACTCACCGGGTTGCACAATGCTGCTTTTTATGTGGCGTGTATAGATAGCACTCCCCAGGAGTCTGAGTGCCCAATCTCAGCTCTGTCTTCTAAACAAAGCTTAGTGAGGTTTTACTATCATTCTTTCCCATTGACTTGATGTTGATGTTTTTCTTTTAACTTGATGTTTTTCTCCCAAAGTTCTCTTTGGCTAGGGACGTATTTTTTTTTTTTTTTTTTTTTTTTTTTTTCATCATCAAGGAAATTTATTTTTTTTTTTGCATTTGGTTACTTTTATTTATTTATTTTTTTAAATATTAAATTTTATTTTTATATTCCCCCATACAATTGCAAACGCCCCATTCTGACCCCAATCCTTCCCCTCCCGCCCCCCACCCCCCTAGGGACGTATTTTTAATGCTTTCTCTGGCTTGCCTTAAGAAGCTTTACCTCTTCAAACGTTCTGGCTCAGAAGTTAAATAGGAACTTTGCTCCTTATTCATTTTAATATAATGCCTCCATCACAGATTGACAAATTCCAAGGTATTCACTTTGAAAAAGCTTGAGTGTAGTTGTAAAAACATTTACAGATATTTAAAACATGCTGAATATTCACTATTTCGGTGGAAAGGATTTAAATATGATTTTCCTCTCTTGAATAGAAAGAAGAACTCAAATACATCTAAAAGATCGCGCCAAAGATGTTGGGTATAGTGCCGGTCTCATTGTTTCATAATTTTCTGGTTGTTCCTTATAGTTGTGTGAGCTCATTTTACCCTCACAGTGTCACAGTGAAGAGGAACGTTTCACAGATCTTGAAAATAAATTTGGGAGAGGTCAGCTAACTTGGCCACGAATACTCAACCATTTAGTGTTTTGCCAGAATTAGAATTTTCAACTGGGTGATTCTACCACGAGGTACCGTATCCACCATTTAAATGATCCCTGTTCACTCTTGCCCTTTAGCAATAAAGCAGGAATCTATCGTTTGTAAGCTGAGAAAGGATGGTATATGATGAGAAGGACAGGTTATGATCATGTAACCCTCAGTGACCTGGGTAAAAGATTTATCCTTATGTGCCTTAGTTTTCTTATGAATATATTTAAGAAAAAATTAAAGATGATCTCATAAAGTTCTTCTGGGGATTAAATAAACATAGAACTGAGACTGGTATAAGTATCCAACAAATACCTATTATTCAAATCAAATCAAATAAATAAAATAAACAGAAAAATACAGAAACCAATGGGCATTATGCATGCCACATATGGAGAAAAATAATAGTGTGAACTCACTGTGCAGGGATTATTAGGGAATTTTGGGGGGGCGGGAGGAACATGTGTTTCAGCTTCTGAATTTGCATCGTCCTTGTACCAACTGCTATTGATCCCCACCCATTTTATTCCTCATATTACAAAGCAGCGTCAGTAGAAACTTTTTTGTGGTAGACTCGATTCCAACCCCTCGCAAATATCAGTTGCATGAAATAACTGGTACAAAGGGTAGAAAAAGCAGAAGAGTGAAAAGATGGCCCTGGTCCCAACTATGAACAATTATTTCTTTTCTCCTGCTGTTTCTTTAGCTTTTATTCTTGAAAACTTATTGTTAAAATTCTTACAGTCTATAAGAAATACTTACTGTACTTCTTTCACTTAATTGGAAGGCTCTGGGGGATGCTCTGGACAATTTTTCTGTATTTCCCCCTAGCAGGTTTACTTGCTATGACATTGCAGGGCCCCCCCGGTGGCACTGCGGTTGAGCACTGGGTTGCGAAGCTGCCCGCAGCCTCTGCAGTGCCGGTTCGATCCCCGGCCGCCAAGCGAGGGTCCCACATGGCACGCAGACCTCTCCTGCTGCGCCTGCTGCTCCCCTCAGCAGTGTACTTTGTCACTCTGCCTGTTCTACTCTCCGCTCTGGCTCTGGTGAATTCTTTCACCCTCCCGCGCCTCTGACTGTACTCAGTGCTTGTATAAATAAATAAAAATCTTTAAATAAAAAAAAAAGACATTACAAGTGCTAAGCAAGTGCTTATTGATGAATGTGAGAATGAATAAGGTGTCACCTTATTTACTCCTGATGGAATTAGTGGAAAGGGGACGTGGGTAGGCATTTGAGGAAGAGGTAAGTTGGAGGTATAGAGTGCAGTGTAAACAGAGTGCCAAGGGCAAACTATTTCTTAAAGTTGTAAATGCTTGTTGTCATTTTTGTTTCTTTTCCATTATCTGATTTCCTCTAGGTCCATCCTGATTTCTTTCGGTGCCTTGACACATGGCTATTTTCACAACTAAATTTTACAAAATACAATAATTGTAATGAATTAGATCCCTGCCAGCCACACCTCCAGCATTCTAGACACCCCAGAGCAATGCATTTCCCACTGTCCATCCAGAAGGGCATTGTTGAGTGAGAAGAGGGGCCTAGCCTCACCTCCCCTGAAGCCCCTTCTCCAGAACCTCACACCGCAGACTTGGGGTGCACTGTAACTTAGCACCAGCTGCAGCAGTGCACTTTTAGATCCTTGATTTGAAACCTAAACATAGCTCAGTGGTCAATCATGGTTATCTTTCTAGGGAACTGTTTGCTGGATCTACCAAGAAAGCAGATTCTGGGCCCTGAAGAGCTGCCGGGACAGACCTACGATGCCACCCAGCAGTGCAACCTGACGTTCGGGCCTGAGTACTCGGTGTGCCCTGGCATGGACGTGTGCGCGCGCCTGTGGTGCGCTGTGGTGCGCCAGGGCCAGATGGTGTGTCTGACCAAGAAGCTGCCCGCCGTTGAGGGGACCCCGTGTGGAAAAGGGAGGATCTGCCTGCAGGGCAAGTGTGTGGACAAAACGAAGAAAAAGTATTATTCAGTAAGTGATGCTTTTATCATTAAGACGCCTGCAGTCCCAAGATCTGAAATACCTGCTTGTGACCAGGACGGAGACTCTCACTGGGAGACTTTTTTTAGATAAAATGGTTTTCCTTTAAAGATCTATTTACAGCTTCCTCCTTTATCCTGGAAGGTGATTCTCAGTCATCACATACTGGGGGAAATGCAGATCACGCTACATTTGGAAGCAGCTACCACTGGGCGGGCAGGTCTGACACTTCAGAAGGACCACGGCGCCAGGCCGGCCCACCCAGTGGTACAAGTGCTTTCACAAATAAGTGTGTAAACCAGACCTGTTTCCTTGAGCCTCCAAGCTGCCCTCCTGCCCCCATCATGCTTCAGTATTTACTTTCTAATTTCTCTAAGTTCAATTATCAGAATACATTGATTTATTTTTTATTTTATATATATATTTTTTTTACATCATTCTTCATTTTTGTACATTGTAATGCTTTCTCCTCTCAGGTGTCGTCCCAGTGAAATTCTCACCACCCATTCACACCTGTGCCATCACCATAGTCCCTTGTGCTCTTCCCTCCCATTTTGATCTTTCTCTCTACTCCTCCCCTGCAGAATATCTAAGATTTATAGTCGCCTATTGATGTTGATTTATTAATTTATTATGCTTTTTTTCCCTGATCCCTTATTTGGTTCCTCTACATTCCTCCTATAAGTGAAACCATCCGATATTTTTCTTTATCTTTCTGGCTTATTTCACTGAGCATAATCCCTTCCAGCTCTATCCATGTTGCTATGAATGACATGAGTTTATCTTTGTTTGATTGCTGAGTAATTTCCACTGTGAGAATACACTGATTTAAATTCAGTAGGATAGTAACAGTAAAGTTGACACATGGCCCTCATGTAGCTGATCTCCAAAGTGGAGGTTTTCCTCCTCAGACCAAGTTAATGAAGTCACTCACATCCACTCCCGGGAAACACTTCCTCCTTTGGCATATACCCAGGCCACCTTCATATTGGCAACTGACACCTTAATTTTCTTTTTATTTATTTATTATAAATTTTATTTTTATATTCCCCATACATTGCGACCCCCTTATTTTGACCCCAATCCTTCCCCTCCCCGCCCACCACCTCCCATCGAGTGTCTCTGGTTCATAGTTGTTTGTTGATTTTGATTTATACTTTCTTATAGTTATTCTTTTTCCTGGTCCCTTATTTAAGTTTTCTAGATTCCTGCTATGAGTGAGACCATCCGGTATTTTTCTTTTTCTTTCTGGCTTATTTCGCTGACCATGATCCCTTCCAGGCCATCCATGTTGCTGCAAATGGCATGTGTTTATCTTTTTTGATTGCTGAGTAATATTCCATGGTGTATATGGACCACATCTTCTTGATCCAGTCATCTATTTTTGGGCATTTGGATTGTTTCCATAGCTTAGCTATTGTAAATAGTGCTGCTATAAACATAGGGGTGCAGGTGCCCTTTGGAATTAATGTTTCTGTGTCCTTTGGGTAAATACCTAGGAGTGGAATTGCTGGATCATATGGAAGCTCTATGTTTAGTAGGTCCAGAAATCTCCACACAGCTTTCCATAGTGGTTGGACCGGTTTGCACTCCCACCAACAGCTGACACCTTAATTTTCAAGACCCAGAGACGTATTTGTTCATTCACGTGGGAGAGTTTGAAAGTCCCTAGAAGAGCGTTGCCACGTGCACATTAACTGTCTTCAGGACCATGCTTCTCAGATACCCTCTCATCACCGCCAGAGGAAGTTCTCCACACACTCCCTCTGCAAAGGAGTTTATGATGCTCTTCCTGTTGGAGTCTCTCAACTCCCTGCTATGTAGTTTTCAAATAACAGACTGAGGCTATTATATGTAATGGGGCTCTTCATTCCCTGTGGTGGGAAGGCACACCTCAGTATTTGTCACTCTTCCTATCTACTGAGTGAGACTTTAGCTTGATGAGGCATGAAGTGACGCCCAGGTCAAGTACATCTCTGCATGTGGCCGAGGGGGCTAGTGCACACATGGTATGTGATGTCATCAAATGGCCGGCACAACGTGAGTGCAAAGCGGGGAGAAAAAGTTGCAAGGATAAGCACAGTGATGCCTGGAACGTGCAAGCCTTTTTACCCCATACATTTAGTTAACATCAGAAGGTCAGTTTGAACAAAGATGTAGCCACGGTTCAGTGCTTATTCACTGAAATGTACAATATCAGAAGGTCCAAGGAAAGCAGGGGGGTCAATTCTTATAGTGCTGCCTGTAGTCAGGGGGTGGAGAAATGAATTTCTTAGAACTGGAAGCACATTCTAATTCACAAATTCAGTGAAAATTTAACTGTCCATAATGAACTTTCCACTGTGATTTCTAATTGTACCTTTTGAAAATTCTCCTTCCTTCTGTGTTAAAAATCGCTTCTGTTTTCTATTTCAGACATCAAGTCACGGCAACTGGGGGTCCTGGGGGTCTTGGGGGCAGTGTTCTCGCTCATGTGGGGGAGGAGTCCAGTTCGCCTATCGTCACTGCAATAACCCGGCACCCAGAAACAATGGCCGCTACTGCACAGGAAAGAGAGCAATCTACCGCTCCTGTAGTGTCGTTCCCTGCCCGCCCAACGGTACGCTGCTCCCAAGTGTCAGCAACATTGTGTTGCATGTGTGATTTGTATTCCAGCAGCAATAAATAGGGCAGACTAGAGAAGTAGCCCATTCCTCTTGTGCTTCACAGTTAAACCAATGTGCAAATCAATAATAAATACATGAGTGATATTTAAATTATAATACATAGCAATTGAGTAGTTGGGGAGTCGGAAGAAAGTAATGACTGCTTTCAACACTGATAATAAAATTCCTCAACACTTGTGTGGAAAGAGATGGTCAATAAAAACCATCTTCCAAAAATTAATTATAATGCACAATATATCTAAATTTCAGAACAGATGAAATAATGTAAAATAACTTGTTTTCTAGGCAAATCTTTTCGTCATGAGCAATGTGAGGCTAAAAATGGATATCAGTCTGATACAAAAGGAGTCAAAACATTTGTGGAATGGGTTCCTAAATATGCAGGCGTCCTGCCGGGGGATGTGTGCAAACTGACCTGCCGAGCTAAGGGCACCGGCTACTATGTGGTGTTTTCTCCAAAGGTAACTAACTGCCTACTGAGATCCAGAAGCAGTAGGAGTCCTTGGTGGGGAGTGTTTGGGAGAATGGAGCCTGCAGATACCAACTGTAAACAGACATTATTTGGGGGGTGGTTAGATTTTGGAGGGTTTTGAGTTTCATCACTCTAATTTCTATATTTTCAAACTATTCAATGTGAAAATTATCTTGTAAACACAGTATATGTTTTAAAAGCTATTTTTGAAAAGTCTAACTCTGTCATGAGAGGTGGGGTATGACCTTTGCTTCAAAATAACTCTTAAAACAGCTTGTATTTCCTAGGCATATTTGCAAAGCTAGACAGTTTTCCACTTTTCTGTCATTTATTTAAGAATTCCTTTGGTGATTCATGAAGATAGTTTTCAAGATAATCACCTCTGATAAATGCACCTTTAATATGACTCAACATCTCATAAGTTATTTGCATTATAAAACATGCATATGAAATTATTCCTTGTTTATCACAGAAGGGCATTTTCTACCATAAACTTTTATTTCTCACAATGAACGCTATGCTGCTGTTTAAAAGGCTTGTCATCTAATTTGCATATGTCAATTCAGTCTGCAAATTTGCAAAACCACCTCTGGAACTAGCCTTCAGATATTTATGATACATTGTTGAAAAACAAGTTAATGTTTGACTTATAATATTTTTAAATACTTTATAGTAAAATAATACTTTTTCATTCTTTAAATGTACAGAGAAATAAAAACAAAAAGGGCATTTGGAAATATAAGCATCTGAAGAGTTGTTATATGTTGAAGTATATCTTAGCTCAGTTTACACACATGCATACACTCCCATACACACATATATGAAAAGTTTGCATATATCTAACTGTTCATATGATTTATATATATTCACCTGCGCAAACTACAAACAGTCCAATATATACTATTTTAAAATTAGATTTTTAAATATATACTAGTTCCTTTGCTCAAAATATATTCAGTCTCTTCCAGGAAGTACATTTGTCTGACTCTCCCAGATTACTTTTGCAGATTCCTAATTCATGGCTATTTCAGCATCTGACAGTCTGATGCACAATAGAGAATGCTTTCCAACCTCTGCAAGGTTTGGAATGTCAGGTTTAGATTTTCTAATTTATTTCTGTAATAGCATTTAAGCAACAAAGAAGGATCTCTGTTCTTGAGCCTGCTCTCCACACAAGTCTCACACATTCAGTGGAAAGATCTTTTCCATTAAAGGAAAAAGGTGGAACTATACCTACCACAGGCATGTATTACACGTATGGTGACACAGATGAGGACCATGGGTGTCCTAGCATGTTTGGAATTATGCTTAATCGAGAAAGTGCCTTACCCACATTTATCCCAGATCTTCCTGTCCATGTGTCGAGGTTATGCTTTAGTTAGCTATGCCTGGAAACTATAATTGGTTGATTATTTTTCAGTGTACTAGTTATTCCAATCAAACTCAAAACTACAAATTGGAACTTGCTTTTTTTTTTTTAACCAAAGAAACCAAGTAGCTAAGCACAAGCATTTCACACTGCTAATGAGTTTCTCCTCATACAGGTGACTGATGGAACCGAGTGTAGACCCTACAGTAATTCGGTCTGTGTCCGGGGGAGGTGTGTGCGCACTGGCTGTGATGGTATCATTGGCTCCAAGCTGCAGTACGACAAGTGTGGAATCTGTGGAGGAGACAACTCCAGTTGTACAAAGGTTGTTGGAACCTTCAATAAAAAAAGGTAATGTGATAGAACATTCACCCTTACATGAATTGAACAAAGCTTCAAACTCTCACAGAATTGATAAAGGGAGTCTCGTGTTACATTGTAAGGATCTGCTGGAGGAGGTCTAGCAGGACTCTAGTGACACATTACGAATATGATAAGGGGAGGGCAGGAGAGTAAAAAGCTCTGATTGTGCAGTGGAACTTCTAGAAGCAGATAAACTTCAATGGCTAAGGGTCCAGACCTTGCAAAGTGCAGCAACTGAAAAGACAAAGCCTGTGACATTCCTTTGAATGGTGCTCTGCAGATCCATTATTCCTGAAAAGTACTTTAGAAAATGATGGCTGATTTCCATCCTCCTAACTTCTTTTTTTTTTCTTTTTGTTTTTTCACAAATGAATTCTCATTAGGCTGTATTTTTCTTAAGAAAACATTTCTCTTTGCAAAAGTAAGTTAATTGCAGTGGGTGTAGACCACAATCCATTTTGAGGTGAACACTCCTGGTTTACATTTACTCTATAAAGAAATATACGCAGTAATGTCTGCTTCCTGCTTCCTCTCCTATTCCTTGATTACACTTTTGCTTTAAATATATAAGTCTATAAAGTACCAGTTTCTGGCGTAAAATACTCTACTGTCAGCCATGATGACTGAGCTTACTGACGAGTGTGGTTGGAAGTAAGGTTGCTTTTCTTCTTTACCAGACTACTCAGGCTGAGAAGTTTTGGTCCCGGGCACCTGTATTCTTGATATATATATACAGTACTGTGTTGTATTTAACTGTAAAATAACATTATCAAACTTAGCACTACTACGTTAATAATGAAAACATTTGTGGCCCTCCCTGTGCCCTACGGGTTAAGTCTCAGAGCTGTCACCACTGCAGCCTGAGTTGGATCCCCAGCCAGGAAGCTGACCCACCTGGCACAGCAGACCCCTCCTGTCTGCCCGCTGCTCCCCTCAGCAGTGTATTTCAGTCAGTCTGCTGTTCTGCTCCCCACTCTGTCTCTGGTGAATCCTCTCACCTACCACACCTCTGGCCTACACCCCAGTTCTTCTAATAAAAATATTTAAAGAAAAAAATAAGAAAGAAAATGATTGCATGCCATGATAATGTGAAAAACTGGAAATTTTCTTTGATATGATAAACAAAATGATATGGCTGCAGAATTTATTTTGAGTTAGAAAATGTATTACTAAGCTTTTTTGCTAGTGATGTGATAATTATTCATTGAACTGTATAGGAACATATACATCGAAAATCTTTATGTATAATTATTTCAGCACTTATGTATGTTCCAAAGGTATATCAGGGCCCGGTATTTGTTTGCAAAAGGAGTCCGAAAATTTAGTACTTCATTGAATTGTACACAGCTAGTGACTGAGTGCCAAAACAAAGACTCTAACTGAGGCCAGAGGATAAATAGATAATTAAAAGAAGGGGAAAAATAAAAAGGAAGGAAAGAAATAATTTAGGAGTCCAATGAAAAATAATTTTTTCTAAACCTGATACCTTATGTTTACAGGCTATGTATACTTCCTATATGAGCTTATCAGTTACTTTTTTAAAATTCTATTTAGATTTTAAGTTTTTGTGTTGAGATCCAAATATCTGCTTACTAGATCTCACATGAAAAGATGAAGAAATACATGATTTCAGCAAGTGGGGAGCAGCATAACCACTTACAGATTGATCTGACCAAGATTTGATAATGTGGTACAAATGACCTGTTTAACTATTTCAAATACATTACCATGGCCTGGTAAGATTTATAAAAAACACATGATCTTAGAGCTGAAATATTCTCCAGCAAATTCTGACTCAGTAATTCACTAGCCACGTTATTGTTGAAGAGTCACTATATCTTTCCTCTCAGCATTCTTCAGAGTAGAATGGAAATAATTGTAACTCTTGCAAATTAATCCTGGTGTGAGGATCAAAGGAGATAATACATATTAAAATATTTCATCAAGAGCTTCCATATAATCCAGCAATTCTACTCCTAGGTATTTACCCAGAGGACACAGAAACATTAATTCAAAAGGGCACCTGCACCCCTATGTTTATAGCAGCACTATTTACAAAAGCTAAGCTATGGAAACAACCCAAACACCCAAAAATAGATGACCACAAAAAGATGTGGTACATATACACAATGGAATATTACTCAGCAATCAAAAAAGATGAACTCATGCAGTTTGCAGCAACATGGATGGTGCTGGAGGGGATCATGCTCAGCGAAATAAGCCAGAAAGAAAAAGAAAAATACCAGATGGTCTCACTCATAGCAGGAATTTAGAAAACCTAAATAAGGGACCAAGAAAAAGACTAATTATAATAAAGTAAAACTCAAAATCAACAGGCAATTATAAACCAGAGACACCCTACAGGAGATTGAGGAAGGAGTAGGATCAAAACAAGAATGGGGTGGGAATTGTATGGGGACTATAACCAAGATGAAAATGCATATATTATGCAAAAATGAAAAATTATGTAAAAAATATATAAAATTAAAAAAATAATTAAAAAATAAAAAATCAAAAAAACACACATCACATTGCATTGAAAAATAAAACTAAGTGTTCAAGTCAAAAAAAAAATTTCAAGTTGGAACCTATTCACAAATTATGACCCTGCCTTTGTCATCACTCCCTCCATGTCCCTCATGCCAGTAAGTAGCAGCTCAATCCTTTTTCAGCTTAGACGCAAACTGCAGTCATCTTCCACTCCCATTTTCTCACACATCCACCTTCCAGCAAAGCCTGTCAGACCTGCTGCCAAGATACAGGCAGAATCCGGTTGTCCCTCAACACCACAATCGCTTTCACTCCCGCACACACATGTTGTCATCTCCTGAGTGGACCAGCCCAGCCACCATTCCACTGGCCACCCAAGTCCCTTGCCCCACTCAGTGTTTTCTTCATAAAACAAGGAGCCAATGCTCTTTTACCCAAGCCAGACAGTCATCTTATTACCTAGGTCAGAAGGTGGCATTCCCTGACTCAACTCCCTGCAAAGCCTCTGTCTTGCTCAGAGTCCATGTCTAAGGCTGTCTTGTAACATGTTCAGAGATTTGGCCTGTCCCTGCTTTGCAGGCCTTCCCCACTGTCCCTTATCACTCTGCTCCACACACACCCCACTCCTCAAGGCTCTTCAAACACGGCAAATAGGAGTGTAGTGTATGTGCCTTCGTCTCGCCAAATCATAAGCAATGCTCTCTCTAGAATTCCTGTAGATGCCTGTCCAGTGTCACCTCCCAGGAGAGCAGCACATGAAATGAATATGAGGCTCCCTCCCTCCCTGCATCATGACAGCCAGGGAAACTGGTTGATGTACAGTTTAAATGATACCAAGAAATGTGTAAAAAAAAATGGATAAGGAGTACAAAAGGAATCATATTTTACAAAGGCACTAAGAAAGCCATGCCCTAATCCTCAGTTTGAAAATCTGCTGACTATGTGCAAACGCCCAGATTCTCATGAATATGGGTAAGGCATTAAGGACTAAAAAGTTGAAAAGACTCTCCTGCCTGGAACCTTGACCCCTCACTTTTCAAACTAAAGGGTCCTGTAACAGAATCTAATTCTAGATGTAGTACAAAAGTATAATTAATTCAATTGAATGCATAGGCCACGTGGTGAGGGTGGCATCATTTGACTTCAGTCCAGTAGGAAGCGCTAAGGTTGTCCAGCAGTCACTGAACAACGGGTATCCCATAGACAAGGGGCTTCCTTGGGGAGCAGCTCCCTCTCGGATGCAGAGGAAATGCTTGCACAAGTGAAACACTCTTGGATTTTCAGTGTACAAATCAGTGGCCATATAAATTCCAAACCTGAGTAAAATTTTGAGATTAGATAATAAAAATTGACTCACATCAGTCAAGCTGTACAGACAAATTATTTCTATTTAAATAGCCAGAAAAGTAATACATATTGGGGACCTTATTAGGAAATTTCTTATAGAGGCAAAGGTTTTGGCTAAAATAACTCCTAAACTCTCTGGTTTAGACCCTTGGGGCTTAATTAGCATTTCTGTCTTAGCATTTTCAGAAAGCTGTGGATATTTGTCTCTGCCCATTTTACTGAAGAGATAAAGAATCACTAGACCTATCGTACTTGTTATTTACCACCAATCCTCACTCTATCCATCTTAATGTTTCATAGATATTAAGCACTCGGGGAATTTTGCTACAGCATTAAAGACACATTTTTTTAATCTTTTGAAAATGAAAAAAAAAAAGATATGAGTTGTAAGCTATGGCTCCCTGAATATAGAATTTGTGTTCCATTTTGTGCTATGCCCAGGAAATTCAACATTCTCGTAGACATTAGAACAGAGCCTCTCTCTCAAGTATAGTAGTTAAATCTGAGTCTCTCCACATTTAATTCAGTGTGACAGTAGTCTGCAGATTGGAACAACATGGGGAGCATCAACCGGAGGAGGGTCCCGCATGGTGCGCAGACCTCTCCTGCCGCCCGCTGCTCACCTCAGCAGTGTACTTCGGTCCTTCTGCCTGCTCTGCTCCCCGCTCTGGCTCTGGTGAATTCTCTCACCCTCCCGCGCTTCTGACTGTACCCAGCGCTTGTATAAATAAATAGATAAATCTTTAAAAAAAAAAAAAACAAACAAACAAGTATAGCTGTCTAGGTCCCATCTTGAAAGATGGGGATTTAATTGGCCTGAAATCGGGGATTTTGATGTTTTAAATCCCGCTGTGTGATTGTAGTAGGTAAAAACGCTTGAGAAACAATTTAAAGATTTCTGTAAGATTGAGTGCAAACTTTTGTTCATTTGTGTTTATGTTTCGTATCCCATTTTTGTGCCAGAAAGAACATAAAGTCACTTTGTAATGATGGCAGGATTTAATAAGGATGGCAGTGTTTGTATAAATCATTAAAGTTATATCCATTTTTCAATCAAAGACAGGTGGCTAATATCACACTCATTTTGAATATCCTAATAAAAATGTGTGGAATGACAGTGTAACCACTCAACTTTATTACGTTGAGAAAATCAACTTCCAAAGTCAATTTTAAACGAATCTCTGAAATAATAACTGTGTTGCAATAAGACTTTTAGAGGACTTCTGTGTGTTTCTCTATTTAAATGTTTACTTATTTCCTCTTCTCTCCTCCTCCTTTTCTTTCTTCTTGCTTCTACCTCTACCTCTGACTCCCCTCTGCCCCATACCCCCTTCTCTTTTCCTCTCTCCTTCCTTCCACACCCCTATGGATATTCCTGCCTCTAGCAAGGGTTACACTGACGTCGTAAAGATTCCCGAAGGGGCAACCCACATAAAAGTCCGACAGTTCAAAGCCAAAGACCAGACACGATTCACTGCCTACTTGGCCCTGAAGAAGAAAAACGGTGAGTACCTGATCAATGGAAAGTATATGATCTCCACCTCAGAAACAATCGTGGACATCAATGGGACGGTCATGAACTACAGCGGCTGGAGCCACCGGGATGATTTCTTGCATGGCATGGGCTACTCGGCCACGAAGGAAATCCTAATCGTGCAGATTCTTGCGACAGACCCGACAAAGGCATTAGATGTCCGTTATAGTTTTTTTGTTCCCAATAAGTACACTCAAAAAGTCAACTCCATCACTGGCCACGGCAGCAATAAGGTGGGTTCCCACCCTGCACAGCTGCAGTGGGTGACAGGCCCCTGGCTGGCCTGCTCCAGGACCTGTGACACGGGCTGGCACACCAGGACAGTGCAGTGTCAGGACGGAAACCGGAAGTTAGCCAAGGGTTGTCTTCTCTCTCAGAGGCCTTCAGCGTTTAAGCAATGTTTGCTGAAGAAATGTTAGCCAGTAGTTATGAGCGGATGCAGAGATAACTGGAGGATTCGTCACCATGGTGGTGAAAGAGAAGTCCACCCAAGCAAAGAAAGTCACACTTCGGTGTCATTGTCAACAGGAGTCCAATTCTGGGCAGAATCTTCTCCCTGTGACCAAATGAAGATGAGCTGCTTCATGTGACAGTGGTGACCTTGGAGTACAGAAGGACTTGGAAGCCATTGAACATCCCCCAGCCCACAAGAATCAAAAAACCATGAGGAATGTAGAAGCCGGGGACATTTGAAGATGGCAGTACAGTCTCTCCTTGTCATCTACCTCTTATAGAATGCCTTCAAAGGCATTGTAATCATTTTCACCCATAATACACAGTAGCTTATTTTTACTGTTTGTAAATACATTGTCCCTTGGTATGTCACTTTATATCACTTGGTTCTATTAAATATATATATATTTCTATAAAAAAAAATGTTTGACCAAAGTAGGTCTGCAGCTATTTCAACTCCTTCCAGTTTTCCAGAAAGAGCTGTGGATGTTTTACTGGAAATTAAGAACTCGCTGCTGTTTTAATAAGATTTAGTACACTTTCAGACTACAGGAGATGACACTTTAGTCAGAAACCATTTTGACCACAAGCATCTTCTGAGAAATTCTGAAAACAAGAAGGATCTCAGTGTATTTCATCCTTTCAATACCTACGCCAGGTCCATTTCTTTAAATCTTTGACTGCCTGAATTTGTTCAAGCAGGAAACCAAATCCATGCATTATTTGGCTGTAGAAGTAGAGTTGGCATGTGTGTGTGATCAGTATTCAAGAGTCTAAAAATTAGTTTCCTTATGTTGGATTTTAAAAACCATGTTTTCCATTTGTATGTTCATGACTGTTTTCCCTTCCTGTGGCTGGTATCTCATACCTCTCAAGGGGTATGAGTAAAATACATAGTAAACACACAGCCAATTTCTATCACACTCAACACTGGTATACCTCTTACCAGCAAGCCTTTAAAATGTACTTGTTTTGCTTGTTTGTTTGTTTTGTTCAAGCATTCTGTAAGACCTAAATGTTCTGTACTTCTGGTTGACCTAGTTTAATAGGACTATTAAAGATTGCTTCGTCGTTAGCCACATCTCGAGTGGTGACATTCATGTGGCTAGTAAAAAAAAAAAAAAGTGGTTAACACCAATAAGACTGTTTCCACACTACAGGCAATTATGCCTTGTTTTTTTAACCCAAGTTTACTGATACTGTGCTTAAGATTTTTGCCAGTTGGAAAGATTTAGCTGTACCAGTAAGTGTTGGAGTGAAGAAATGTGATTTTTGTGAAGTTGATTGCTTTTATCTCCATAATCTAAGTAGGTTCTAAGTTTTAATAGTTAGACTTGGAAATTTCTTGCAATCACATGCACACAAATCTGGTTTTAGACAGTAGACTGCTTCCGTCTATCCCATAGCTCAGAAAATCTAACATGGTTCTTTTCATTGGAATTTGTTTTCCTTTGTGAAACATCACAGAACCAATTGTTTTTTATAAAGTTTTATAATAATCATACCAAATGTGCCTATTGTTAAAGATTTGCATATGAGGATGTTAGGGGACTATTGTTCGAGTTCCCTTAAGCTCCTACGAGTTTGTTTTTAAGGTTTTTTTTAATATAAAAGAATTATGTAATTGATCTTGCTCTATCAGTCATTTCAGTAGGCCAGGAGAATGGATATCTCACTGATTTAAGTATTACAAATTTATCTGATAAAACAAATAATTACTATTTTATAAAAGTGATCATCATCCTTTGGATTCTCATAGACTGACTTGAGTTTAGATGGGGTCATTTTTCCTTAATAAATTATCAATGAAAGAAACAAAGCCGACACACCGGTAACCTGCCTTTGAATGGAGGTCACCAGCTATCACAGGCAGAGAACAAAGCTATTCCAATCAGGCAGAAATATGAAAAGTCACACTATTTGACTATGCAGAGAGAATAAATAGGTAAGGCCAATATTCTTTTTCCCAATTGTCAAAGTAACAAGTAATTCAACTCTCACAAATTATTTTTATCTTTTGTGGTTATAATGGACTGCAACATTAAAACATAATTAAAAGCCAACATGATTGTCTCTTACTCTGCTTTCCTATACTGTATCCATTGATTATTAATATGATTTATCAATGATTCATTATCCCTTCCCCCCAAATAATGAAGTTTACATTTCTCATGGAAGCAACCCTAGACAGTTTAGAACAAATAAACCACTATTCCATGCTTTCAAGAGAAAGTGCTTTAGTTTGTTGTTTAAGTATCAATAGACTGACTGAGGAATGTATGTCTGAATTCCTATGAAAAATGACATAGACTGGAAGCTGAAAATCAGATAAATGGAGCACCCATTAGATATAAAGAATGTGAGCGAAGGGAAACTCCTCCATAATACAATCGAATGCACCCAGTGTAATGGGGGTCTCTGCTTTTCATCTTTGCACAGTTGCATCTTGAATAAAAAGACCCTAAGAGTCAGGATGCTGGGGATTATTTCCTCAAGAATGTGTCTGCAAATGCTCACATTAGTAAGGATCTAATCTTACTTACAAAACTAAGCACTCCAAGTTAAGTATCACTAAGTGCAAAGGGACCCCAGTAGGGAATAGCGTTTCTTTCTTTTAGAACAGAAAAGTCAAATTAAACCCCACTTTGTTGTTCAGTGGCATATGGGCATTGTTGAATTTATTCAATAATTTCAACTTCCTTTGCCTTCCTGTGGAAACAGTTTTATCCCATTAACTAAGAATTAAGGGATTAATCACAATAAAAAAAAGTTGCAGCACTGAGAAAAAAGTAATTTATTGTTTTTGCAACTGGTATGTGAATTTGTGTGATAAAATTATTTATTCTTATTTAACAAAAATATGTGCAAATTCTTCTATATTTAAAATGTTTTGCTGTTGTCTGACTTTTTAATTTATGCTTCATGTTTGTGTATAAAGTACACTTTGTGAGTTTACATAATATACAGCACTGGTTGCTTTTGTATTTTTTTTTTTTTTTACAGAAAGCTTTCTGTGTAAAACAGGTGTACATGTATATATTCCTCATGTATCCTTATTCTGATACTTTCATTTTACTTTCTAAGGAAGCTTTTAAATTTAATCTTCTATGACTAGCAGTGTTCATTACTGTACCTATGTCTTTTCAGTTCCATGAATAGTCATTTCTCTGAGTCACAGCTAAGAAAACACTTATTCAAGTGAATTAAGTTCAAGTTTTAAAATTGGGTACATGGATAGTCTGGACGCGTCACATAGAAGTGAAAACACAGTAAAAAAAAATCAGGTCCATTCACTTTACTGATAAACTTGGACAAGAAGCTGTTGATGTATTATATGAAAGTTGCATACGTTCATATAATGTTGTTAATGGCATCAATGTAAATAAACCCAAATATTGTTATTTGCTGCTTTAGAAACACTCCTTAAAATTATCATTTAGTCTGTAGTGTTTGTAGGATGTTATAATTAAGAGTAAACAATTGGTTTTAAATGATTCAAATGTCAGTAGTCATAACCAATTCTACAAACATGGGATTTTCCTGTTGATAGATAGAGTGTGACTTTCTATCACCACTAGTGAATCTCACAAATGATAATAGGACTTGGGACAGGTGAGGACACTTCTGATAGCATCAACTTGCCTCTGACTAAGACTTCACAGTCTGGTTACAGCAATAGGGAAAAGCATGCTTGGATGTGCAATTGACCAGATCCATCTCTGGATTTGATATTTCTCCCACTGTGTTGTTAACAAGGTCATTGTAATAGTTTCAGTGAGAACAGCAACCAGATTCCAAGTCTGGGGCTTGTACTATGACTTAGAGTTCACTGTTTATAACATAATGTTGAATTTAATAATGACCAATTCTTGCTAATAGTTAATGACTGAGTGTGAAATTTTATTGGCATGATTGGTAAATATTACTAGTCTAACTTGAGGTCATACAATGCCTTATATTTTCAAACAATTCAACTCTACAAAATAAACGAAGTGACCATTAGTATAATAACAGTCACTCAAAGCGACAATAGAATCAGTTGCCATGCCAGGGTGATCTATCATTTAGACACACAGAAAAAGAACTTGTATATTTTCTATTTTTTTCTCATTTGCCAATAACATGTAGTTTTAGACTGTTAAACAGGTAGGTCAATTTAACTCTATAGTTCACTGGAAAAAAAGTATCTTCCTTATAGTTTCTGTGAGCATGAACTACAGAAATGAATTCTCAAGTTATATCATGAAACACTAAAGTCCAATGGATAATTGTGTTCTGTTCAATGAATGCATGGGCACATGTTAAAAGATGAACCCATGCATTAGGCAGTCAAAAATGGGAATATATTGATACTTAGTGTTCTGATTGGCAAAGAATTCAATCTGGCAGATGTATCATAATTCTCAGTGCAGGTTGTGTGGAAGAAATAAAGGACTATGTTGTTACAAGATATTGGTTTTAAAAGAGAATAGGACTGAAATATACATATTAGTTAAACCAGTTCACTGTACTCACTTACTATATAGCACTTTAGCAGTATGTTTGCTCTCTGTGGTCCTTTTAATCCCATTGTCCACCAGTCAGTCCATGTAGACTGCCAAGGGTCAATTGAAAAAATAAATATTGGCCCATCATCCTACAAGGCACTGCCACTTCCAAGTGACCCAAAGTCTAACACTGTGAGCAAAACTGTGATTTGTAAATAAAACAGGGCATTCTCCCTTTTCTTCATTTTCCTTTGGCACATCCAATGAACAATTGTAATTTTCATCAAGGTGCTACCATCTTCAGTGACCAACTGTCAATGCGGTGTTTCTGAGTGACTATTTTATTCCACATGATTTTTTAGCTTGCAAAAAAAAAAAAAAAAACAACTTAAGTATTTAGTCAAGGCTGGGCACAACTTGATATTCCAAGTTGGAAAATTGCATCTAATGGACATTGTGGTCAGCAGTGAATAATGATTTAAATTCTCTGCACATCCAACATCAAAACTTGAAGAACACCAGGCTGGAGTAGTAGACGGATATGAAATCATGTTCATCACTTGCTAAGCCATCACCATTTTTTTCAAATATCTCTCAAGCTTTTTTTTTTTTCTCTACACAAACTCCTGTGTATATTTGATCTGCCATTTTTTAAACTTTGCAATATTTTATATCCACAGTAAGCATTTGGCAACTGTATCTCAGTCGTTAACAATTCACATCATATGAGAATCACTGTTTCCCATTCTGAGTATGTTTAGTTAGAAGCTCATATTGTGTGTGTGTTTGTGAGACTAGACTTTTGATGAATAAATATATATATTGTCTCTGGATGGTTATTTTCGCATTATGCACTCAGGCATGACATAACTAGCTAGAGTTGACAAATACTGCTCACAGTTTAGTATGACTAATACATCAGAGGAAATCATATTGATGCTTTGTAAATAGACTGCAGGTAACTAAACAGATTGCAGAAACTTGTTCAACTGAACGTAAGCAGTAGCACAAACAAATGAGTTCAGCACTAATCTGTAATTAAAGTCAGGTAATAAGCCTAAGTAGGTAAAATTGAAATGTTTTCAAGGTAAAGTAGAAGACGGAGGATTTGCATGTTATATATAAGCAGTAAAATGTAGGCTATTGATTACCTTCCATTTTCCAACAGGGATAACATTTTTCAGTAGGTATAATGTAGTCGAAAACCAAAAATTGTGGAAAATTAAGATGGGTCCTGTTTAAAATGTCTCCACATCTTTGGCAAATTTCAAACCTGAATCAACTATTGAAAGCGTTGCCATGTCTTGTTGCCTGCAGCCTACAGCAGCTCTGTTAACCAGGTTCACCTCTCGAACTGAGTAATTAGGGGGCAGCACTGTAATAGTTTTCACTGAGGAACAGTATCCTCTTTTGTAAAGCATTTCCTGATGTGTGACTTTAAACTGTAAAGTGAAGCATTGGTCTTGTGGTTTCATTGGGCATAATAAATGTAAATTGCAAACTATGTCAGAGTTTGCACTGCATATAATATGTTTTAGAGTTGGAAAATATTGTCTTTTTCTTTTGAATTTTCTGATAACAGTGAAGGGCTGCGGGTCTTGTGGAAGCCCTAGGCCTTCTCTCATTTGCATTATCCTTCATCCTATTCCTCAAAGATGATTAATACTCTAGCTTAATGTATTATGGATTTATTGCTGCAACTTCTTACCAGACTATCACCTACTAATCTTTCTAGAATAAAAATTCTGCTGTTAAATTAGAAACAGCTACATTATCTTGCTGGTTCATTTTTTATTTTTTAAAGACAAATGTGTTCTAGATATAAAATTAAAGTGAGTAGGAATTAAAAAAATTGAAAGTCACTAAAAAAGCCAATTTATTTGCTAACAAAATATATGGCATAAAGGTTTCTAAGGTTAGCAATTCCTTCTAAACCTGTTGAATTTGTCATAAAACAGTATATTAAAATTGTACTTACAACTTTTTCTTAGCAAGGTGTACACTTTTTTTTTTAATTGAAGTAACATTGGCTTAAAACACGATATATGACTTAGGGAAGTAGGTTCTCAGTTCTTCAGAATATACACCAGCACACCTCACCCACCGCCAATACACCCACAGCCCCTTATGCCTCAGCGGGCGCCCTCTCCCAGTTTGTACCCTCTAAAGAAATCAGTAAAAACACCTTACGTTTAACAAGATAATATAGGGGCCTCCCTGGTGGCACAAGAGGTTAAGCACAGCACTGTGAGGCTGTCCGCAGCCACTGCAGCACAAGTTCAATCCCTGGCAAGGGAGGTGACCCTCAAGGCACAGCAGACCTCTCCTGTCTCACCCGCTGCTCCCCTCAGCAGTGGATTTCAGTCAATCCACCTGTTCTGCTCCCCGCTCTGTCTCTGGTGAATCCTCTCAGCCCCCACACCTCTGGTCTGTACCCCAGTTCTTGTATGCATAAAATGTTAAAAAAAATAAAAAGTCCATATATAAACTTGGCCATGATAACATGGCAGAGATTTTTGAACACCTCCTTGGGTCAGGCCCTGTAGCAAACACCTCACAAACAATCACCCATGTTTCCTTAAGTGACCTCTGTGGGCTTGATCTGAAGAGCCCATTATTCTAATGACTGTCAGATCACCATAACTGTTCACGGCCTTCTAGTTATCAGCACTGCCAGACTCCATAACAAGACAAGCACGCAGGTAGCTGTTACCAATGCTGCCATTGAAGCTCTGACTCTTAACTCCTCATGCACTGTGAGTCTGAGGGAGGGGTAGTGGGCTGGATGGAAGACTGTGGGAGATGGGTGAAATAGGGGGACTGCTCAGAAGCCCGGATGTGGGTGCCCCTTGAGTAAAAGCAAGAAAACTCCTGAAATTCCAATGACTATGACAAGGAAATTAGGGATAGTGAGAAAGGCAGCAGAAGCAAAGGCCAGCGCTCAGTCACAAAGGAGTGTTGTCTGAAGAGAAAGAATTTGACAGAAAACTAGTAAATTGCTGCAGTTAAAAAAAAAAAAAAAACAGTTGTGGTATTTAACCTTACAAACTCCTTCACAGCTAATAATGAGCTGGTTGAGACAAGGTCAAAGGTGTGAAAATGATCCCAGGGCAGCTTTTAGAGGGGGGGGTAGAATGAACAAAGATGGTCAGAAATGGAACTACCAATGTTTGAAAAATCCAAACCATCGCTAATTCCTAGATTACATGGAGGTTTTCTCGATATATTGTTTTATCTGTTCAGCTATACTCATGTATTCCCCAACCATGAAGACATATGCTGTAATATAAACACAAGCAGCAACCACCACCTCCCCCGCCCATGTCTATATGATTTGGGTAAAGAACATCAAATCCCAGAATGATTAGCCGTCTGCGGCCGGTCCAGGCAAGGAGGCAGACAAGCAGTCTCTGTCCTTTCCTGGAACGGGATTTCACCTTTGCTCACGCATTTCCCTTTCCACTTCTAGATGCCCATAGCAATTTGTCTCCCTGGTTCAACTTTCATTGCAGTTTGATAGATCCTTTTTTTTTTTTTTTTTTTTGTGGCCCCTCGCCAGTGGCCGGGGATCGAACTAACGCTGCAGAGGCTGCGGGCAGCCTCACAGCCCAGTGCTCAACTGCTGCGCCACCAGGGGAGGCCCTGATAGATCTTTTTTTGTTGCTATTATTTATTATTAAAAGTCTCTGAAACATAGCAGCTGAGTTAGTTTTAAGTGAAAAAGAAATTAATTCTTTGTCTACAGAATTCACCTAGATGCATCTATGCTCTTCAATGCTTTCACTATCTCTTTGGCTTTTCAAAGATGTTTTCTTTTACTCAAAGTTAAAAATCAGTGTCCTCTCCACAGCCTTCAAAGCCCCGGGATCTGGCCTCACCTCCTCTCTGACTTCCTCTTCTGTCTCCATCCTCCTGGTCTACTGCATCAATTGCTTTATTTTCCTGCTTGTTCTTCACTATAGCAAACATGAACCCTGTCCAGATCCCTTTGCCCTAGAATGTTCTTCCTACTTAGACAATTGAGTCTTCTCTCCCTTCAAGTCTCTGTTTTAATGCTATCTCTCAGGGATGTTAATCCTTGACCACCCAAAATCTCTAAACCAAATACCCATGCCCTCTTAATTTTTCTTCACGGTGAATGAAGAAGTCAGAAAAGGGATCCAGGCAGTCAGTTAGGAACAGGGTGCCTCAAGCCCATTTATCAAGCTGCCCATTTATCAATGTGAATAAGGAACAATCAGTGAGAACCAACCAGGAGGTGTCTCTCCCCTTGCAAACCCAGACATCTCAAACCCATTTATCAAAGTAATAGGAGACAATTGATGGGAGTGAGGGTGCCCCCCAACCATTTAAAAATGGAATGTTCATGACCTCCACACAATAATACAATGCCAAACCAATGGACGAAAGCTAGTTTCAGGAAGGCAGGCAGGTAAGCTAACAGACCCCACAGAGACCAACCAATCAGCAAGAGACATAACTCTGAGGCACACAATGACTGAACCCCCATTCCTTGCCTGCTGTACCCACATACACTCTTGGACCCTCAGAAGCCACCCACTCAGGGACCCTCCTTGCTCAGAGAGCTTTCCTGTCCTCCTTATCTGTCAATAAATCTCAAGTTTTGCTGTCTCACTGGACTCTCTTCAGTGAATTCTTTCCTCACTGAGGCAAGAATGAACAATAGCCCCAACTCAATGGCATTTATTAACACCTGATATTTCATTAATCCTCATTTGTTTAAGTCTGGTACACCTCCTCCACCCCCCCGCCCCCAACACCCACAAGCACAGATGCACATATTTTGAAGGTGCAATCTTTTTTTTTTTCAGTCATGTCACCAGCTCCTAGGAAGGGGCCAAGCATATAGTAATCAATAAGTACTTGTTGAGTGAATGAATGCAAGAATGAATGGCAATCCAGACAGTTAATCATCATTAAGAATCCAGGAAGTGGTTGATGGTGTCTCAGTAAGTGAGAAAAACATGTTCAAGAAAATATTTTCAAGAAGTTAATACTGATATTTTAGAAAAGGAGGGAGGCCAGGGTAAGACCAGGGAAGCACAGGAGCAACGATAAGTGGGTGACAGCAAGAATATCTTCTTGATTATAAGGCAGGTCTTTAAATCTTAGGATTCCATATTGTGGGGGCAGAAATATCACTCCCTAGTTACCATTCCTTGATTATTCTTTGAAACATTAATCTGGGTAATGATAGGAAAGTATTTTGTAGATGGAATTCATGCTAAACCAACAAACCTTAAAATAGGAAGATCATACTAAATTAATTGGCAGGGGTAAGGCAATCACAGGAACTCAAAAACAGAACAGAAAGGCAGAGGGGAAGTCAGAGACTTCTAAGTATCAGGCTATCAGGATACCATTCACGCTCAATCACATTGAAGATGGAGAGGAGTCTCAAGCCAAGGAATGAAGACATTGTCTAGATGTCAAGGACAACTCATCCCGTTGATGAGCCAGCAAGGAAACTGGATCATCCTTCCAGTTAAAACCAGGTTGTAGCATTCTCCTCTCATGAATCCTGAAACCAGACTGGGAACATGGCATTGTTGCCAGATGTCAGTTAAAGAGCCTCCTCTAGAGAGAGGAAAGACAGATATTGTAGATGAAGCTATCCATTACATCGAAGCCAATGTCTTCTTCAAAACTATAAAATTAAGAGTGAAGTTGATAGGACCTTGATCTATACCACTCTCTATATTTCTGAGAATCTAAACAAACTCCAAAAGTGCAATTCCAAAATCCAAGGTGAGAAAGAAATGTGAAAAATTTTCTGAAATTGCCAACTGGTTTTCTGTATATATACTTTACTTTTAGTTATCCTTAAAAAGTTTGTCTTATTATTTATTAACTTTCATACAAGCGGCTTCTATATACTTCATGTATCCAGTATGCAAAGCTGACCAATTACAAAAGCTTAGTTTTCTTTTCTTTGGAAACACTGCTTTCCATTCAGGGAGAATTCCCTTCTCCCAGGATATTCCACAATGTTTGGAGATACTTTTGATGGTTATAATGCAGTGGGAAAGATGGTGTTGGCATCTAGTATATAGAATCAAGCAACCCTGCAGTGCACAGGATAGCCCAACACAGAAAAATTACTCCACCCAAAATATTCATAGTGTTGAGCTTCAGAAGCATAACCCTGGAAGATCTACCCCTGTTTGATAAACTCCCGGGGGGGGGGCACTTTTTCCCTTTTAATTAGATGCGAGTCAACACACCCATGACTTTTCTCTCCTTGCACCTATGAAATTTAGAGCCTCGGGATCTGGGGGCCAGAGTTGGTTCTGGAACACTGGCCTTTGGTGTGTATTTCCTCACACAAGAAACAACCTCAGGTAGGTTTGGAGCCCTGGGCATTTTGGGGACAATTGATGGATTATGCAGGTGAACACAACATAGACTGATGACAGGCAATTACTATAAATCACGCTCAGTCTTACTTCCAGACACACGCAGCTGATTGCAAGAAATCTATGGAAAGCAGCTCTGGCCCATCCATTTCAGAAAATTAGGATTGTGCCTAAAGCCAGGTTTGCACATTTTCTAAATGAGCTAACTGGAATGTTTTCCATATAACCAAATGAAAAGAAAACAGAAGAATGAAAGTTTTGTTCCTTCCAGGGCATTTTTAAACATTATTTTATTTTAGGTGCAAATAGCATATATTTTTAAATAGTAACTGGCACAAATGTGCATTTTTTAATTTCAAGGGAATTCAGGAAACACAACCCTGGGAAATACAGACATATGTGATACAACAAATAATCCCAAGTCAGTTTTCAGGGAGTCATTAGCTATAGATATTTGTTTTGTTTTGTTATATGAGAATTTCTTAAAGAATAAGTCACGAGGGGAAAGAT